TCTCTGAGACCGTCTGACCCTAATCTGGACCCCTCAGGTCACGTGAGGGGCCCCTAAACCCGTCCGAGGACCACCTGAATGCACTTAGAGATCTCATGAACCCACCGGGAGAACCCTGATATCATGTTGGGATCCACAGACACAAAACTTAGTTTCAAGTGATCAAGCAAACTGTCACTGAATAAAGGAAATGAAACCTAGTTTAGGTTTGGTGGCGGCCTTTAGGCCTATCAACCTCTGGAGAGTTACTAAGGCCACCACAAATATATATATATATATATATATATATATATATATATATATATATATATATATATATATATATATATAAAACTTCATAATTATCACACGGGTACTCAAAACTAATTTCAAAATGACAATAATAATTTTTACAAACTCCTGTAAGTTTGTTGTTGAATACAAATGCAAGGTCAGTGTGAGGTCTTAGTTTTGCTGCTGATTTGAACTTTTGTATTTCAGATCTGATGATGAATACGACAAGTGTTCGAAACGTGATGAATGTTAAGTAAAAGTTAAGAAGAATGTTAACAAGATGTTTCCTTTGGTATTTTAGTTTTTGTATTTGTGTTTGGTATGTTAACTGTTATCTTGAAACCCCGCTAAGTCGTCTGGAGATAATCTCCCCCCCCCTCCTTCATGGACAAGTAAGGAGGTCCTGACTAGAAGAAAACAGTTCACTCGTTCTGGGAGACCTGACATGCACGAAGTGGTTTGGCCTTGTCAAAAGCGTTTGGGCTTAAGTCACCGAAGTGGACACTCATTAGTACGGTAAGACGTCATGTTAAAAAGTGGTTTACATTTCACCTAAAGCACCGGAATATGGACGCTGTGGTTGACAGCATTGAAACTACGGTACATTAAGTGGGAGGACAGGGTGATTCACGTCACCCTAGAGCTAACTACCAGGGAACCCATTATCAGCCTTAACGACCCCCTAGTTAACGCTATCTAAACCATTTAGTGCTAATATTTTAGCCCGTTTCCTCGCTTTGCCACTCCGTAAAAAATGCGACTGTTCAGCCCTGCCAGAAACGTACAAACCCAGACAACCCACCTAACCTATCGAGGCCGACAGACAGAAAACGTCAATATTACGGTGCTTTAACTTTGACTAATAACGTTGCCTTTTGAACGGATTGATCAAGTCCGTAAAGAAAGGGACGCATCAGGTGAGGGGACATGTTTGGTCTACACAAAATCTCTCCACAATGGCTCCCAATTTGTGCCCCCCCCCATTTCAATTGTTTGTCCCCTACTCATCTAAACGCACCTGATTACTGTTCAAATAGTCTCCGTATTTACTTATTACAGTGCAAATAGGGTCTCCGTATTTACTTATTACAGTGAAAATAGGGTCTCCATATTTACTTATTACAGTGAAATAGGGTCTCCATATTTACTTATTACAGTGAAATAGGGTCTCCATATTTACTTATTTCAGTGCAAATAGTCTCCGTATTTAATTATTACAGTTCAAAATACGCCGACCTGCATGATGCCGTATTTATTAGTTCAAATAGGGTCTCCGTATTTACTTATTCAGTCTTCTCAAACTTTTTCTATTCCTATTTTCTATTCCACCTATTCCTACTCTGCCGTTTAGTTTAATTAAGTCTAAGATTGTGCCAACACAAACAACTTACTCTCCCCTACAATGCAATTTCGTAGCGGTCGTAAATAATGGTATACTCCTGCTGTATCCGCCCTTCTTGCCTGGCCAATAGGAAGGGCGCTACCTAGATGTTACTGGACCAATAGGAAAGCGTCTTACAAATGTCTCTAAGCCATAAGGAGGTATAGACTTTTTCAACCCTCGAAGGTCTTGAGAAGTCTGAACAAGAAGTCTGAGATGCTTGCGCGAGACCAGGGGCCAGATTCACGAAACAGTTACGCAAGTATTTACGAACCTGTACATCTTTCCGCAATCTTCGGCGGCTTTGGTTACAATTATTAAACAGATAATGAGCACTGAAGCACCAGGAGGCTGTTTATAACAATAACAACAGTTGATTGGGAAGTTTTCATGCTTGTAAACTGTTTAATAAATGTAACCAAAGCCGTCAAAGATTGAGGAAAGATGTACACGTTCGTAAGTGCTTGCTTAACTGCTTCGTGAATCTGGCCCTCAGACTTTCACCCGGCCGTCTTCTCGAGCGCTCCACAACGTTGCTAAACTGTTGTACTAAATTGCCGGAACCTAACGTAACCGAGGAACGTCTAATAGAAAACGGGACATCACGTCAATTTTGCGAGCCGTTGGGATAATTTATCGTACAACCGTTGTTTGGCCTTAGGGGGATCAATACGTCAAAATACGATGTATTATTCGAAAGGACATTGTATTACGTCGCCTGTTACCGTACTTGACCCTGCGTGACCTGACCACTCAACCCGTCCCGACCTAATTACCTAGGTAATTAAGGGAGCCGGTGGCTGAGCGGACAGAACACTGGGCGCGTGATCCTGTGGTCCCCGGTTCGATCCCGGGCGCCAGCGAGAAACAATGGGCAGAGTTTCTTTCACCCTGATGCCCCTGTTACCTAGCAGTAAATTGGTACCTGGGAGTTAGTCAGCTGTCACGGGCTGCTTACTGGGGGTGGAGGCCTGGTCGAGGACCGGGCCGCGGGGACACTAGGCCCCGAAATCATCTCAAGATAACCTCGTCATTTTTAACGCAATCGATCATTCCATTCAAAACGCGACGCATTATTAAAAACTCAAGCACCGTAATAGTGACGTTTTCAACGCATCGGCTTCGACAGCTTGGGGGGGGGGGGGATTGAACGTAAGAACAAAGGTAACTGCGAAGCAGTATCCTTCCCCGCGATAACTGCTTGATGATTAAATGCAACCTCAGAATACTGAAAATTACTGAAAAAAAAATTGTACCACTTACGGGCTATTCATGCCCGTGTCACCTCTTGGGTGGCTTAATCTTTATCAATCAATCAATCAAAGGTAACTGCAGAAGGCCTATTGGCTCATACGAGGCAGCTCCTATTTATAACCACCCAATCCCACTCATATACATGTCCAACCCACGCTTGAAACAATCGAGGGACCCCACCTCCACCACGTTACGGCGTAATTGGTTCCTTAAATCAACAAACCTGTTACTGAACCAGTATTTACCCAAGTCTTTCCTAAATCTAAACTTATCTAGTTGGTTGGCTTCCTACGTTTCTGATTAGGCAAACCAGTCGCATTTTTTACGGAGTAACAACTCGATATAAAGAGCTATGACCACTGTAGTTGTGACCGCAAATGGCGCTATTACGGGAGCCTCGAACGCGGGTCTCCCAAGATAACAAGGGAATGGAACTATCAGGGGAAAGCGCCAAATACGACTATACAGCACTGGGAACGTGTCTGGATAAGGATTTGGGATGGGACGGGTGGAAGGGAATGGTGTCCAACCACTTGTGGACGGTCGGGGATTGAACGCCGACCTGCATGATTCGAGACCGTCGCTCTACCGTCCAACCCAGTTAAGTCAAGAGATCCTGAGCCACACAAGGCGACCGTATTCCGAATGATCCAACGAAGTTGTGTTTTTAACATACAAATAATACTGATGAAGTTAAATTTTATCATGATTAAATTGTGATTAAAATCAAATCAAGTTATACGAGACAAAAATCATATATTCTCTTTGATACAATACCCTACCTCCCAGTATGGGAGTCAATAGCCTCCCCTACAAGCTGTTAAGAGGCTTCAGTAGGCATCCTGTAGTCTCAGGAGACTATGGAGTTGCGCTCTGGTTGTTGGTCTGCAGTGTAATCTTCAGGGCGCAAATCCAGGGTAGATCGATATGGAGAAGTTGTTACCCATGCAGCGGGTCTCCTCCTTCCCACGATGCTGAAATTGTCCAATGGAAAGGCAGACGCCAATACGCTTGGTTCCAGCGCCGTCTCAGGAGCGTAATGTTAAGATACCAGCATATCCCCAAACTGTTAAGATACAAGGGGTACCTACACTAATTCTTTCTATAGCAATTACAAAATAAAAAATACCTTGAGACATAAGTTGAGGAGTTCTTATTCTTCTCATCAGTTGACTTGTTGCCAGAGAGATTCACATTCTTGGACTCCAGCAGAAATCTGCTTGACAGTTCTCTGCTTTTTAGATAAAAATCCCATAAATTGATTAAACAAAAGTTTAGGGAGAAGGGTGTATAAAATTAAACATTTGAAGGGCTCTAAATATAATCCGTGAATCGCTATGAGAGATAATCGCTATGAGAGATAATCGCTATGAGAGATAATCCTTTAAACGTCAGCATGATAGAGCGCTCAGCCTTTAAAGAGTGGATGTCGGGATAACAGGATTTGTTGGCGGATTTAAATATTTGTATTTTTTTGGTGGATTTTCATTTTATTTGGCGGACTTGGACTTTTTGTTGGCGGATATGGAACTTTTTCCCTGGGAGAATATGGAACTTTTCCCTTGGAAAATATGGAACTTTTTCCCTGGGAGAATATGGAACTTTTCCCTTGGAGAATATGGAACTTTTCCCTGGGAGAATATGGAACTTTTCCCTGGGAGAATATGGAACTTTTCCCCTTGGAGAATATGGAACTTTTCCCTTGGAGAATATGGAACTTTTCCCTGGGAGAATATGGAACTTTTCCCTGGGAGAATATGGAACTTTTCCCCTTGGAGAATATGGAACTTTTTCCCTTGGAGAATATGGAACTTTTCCCTTGGAGAATATGGAACTTTTCCCTGGGAGAATATGGAACTTTTCCCCTTGGAGAATATGGAACTTTTCCCTTGGAGAATATGGAACTTTTCCCTTGGAGAATATGGAACTTTTCCCCTTGGAGAACATGAACTTTTCCCTTGGAGAATATGGAACTTTTCCCCTTGGAGAATATGGAACTTTTCCCTGGGAGAATATGGAACTTTTCCCTGGGAGAATATGGAGCTTTTCACCTTGGAGAATATGGAGCTTTTCCACTTGGAGAATATGGAACTTATCCCCTTGGAGAATATGGAACTTTTCCCCTTGGAGAATATGGAACTTTTCCCCTTGGAGAATATGGAACTTTTCCCTGGGAGAATATGGAACTTTTCCACTTGGAGAATATGGAACTTTTCCACTTGGAGAATATGGAACTTTTTCCTTGGAGAATATGGAACTTATCGCCTTGGAGAATATGGAACTTTTTCCTTTGCGAATATGGAACTTTTTCCTTTGCGAATATGGAACTTTTTCCTTTGCGAATATGGAACTTTTTCCTTGGAGAATATGGAACTTTTCCTTGGAGAAAATGGAACTTTTTCCTTGGAGAAAATGGAACTTTTTCCTTGGAGAATATGGAACTTTTCCTTGGAGAAAATGGAACTTTTTCCTTGGAGAAAATGGAACTTTTTCCTTGGAGAATATGGAACTTTTTCCTTGGAGAATATGGAACTTTTTCCCTTGGAGAATATGGAACTTTTCCCCTTGGAGAATATGGAACTTTTCCCCTTGGAGAATATGGAACTTTTCCCCTTGGAGAATATGGAACTTTTCCCCTTGGAGAATATGGAACTTTTCCCTGGGAGAATATGGAACTTTTCCACTTGGAGAATATGGAACTTTTTCCCTTGGAGAATATGGAACTTTTCCCCTTGGAGAATATGGAACTTTTCCCTAGGAGAATATGGAACTTTTCCACTTGGAGAATATGGAACTTTTCCACTTGGAGAATATGGAACTTATCCCCTTTGAGAATATGGAACTTTTCCCCTTGGAGAATATGGAACTTTTCCCCTTGGAGAATATGGAACTTTTCCCTGGGAGAATATGGAACTTTTCCACTTGGAGAATATGGAACTTTTCCACTTGGAGAATATGGAACTTTTTTCTTGGAGAATATGGAACTTATCGCCTTGGAGAATATGGAACTTTTTCCTTTGCGAATATGGAACTTTTTCCTTGGAGAATATGGAACTTTTCCTTGGAGAAAATGGAACTTTTTCCTTGGAGAAAATGGAACTTTTTCCTTGGAGAATATGGAACTTTTTCCTTTGAGAATATGGAACTTTTTCCTTGGAGAATATGGAACTTTTTCCTTGGAGAATATGGAACTTTTTCCTTGGCGAATGTGGAACTTTTTACTTGGCGAATGTGGAACTTTTTTCTTGGAGAATATGGAACTTATCGCCTTGGAGAATATGGAACTTTTTCCTTTGCGAATATGGAACTTTTTCCTTTGCGAATATGGAACTTTTTCCTTTGCGAATATGGAACTTTTTCCTTGGAGAATATGGAACTTTTCCTTGGAGAAAATGGAACTTTTTCCTTGGAGAAAATGGAACTTTTTCCTTGGAGAATATGGAACTTTTTCCTTGGAGAATATGGAACTTTTTCCCTTGGAGAATATGGAACTTTTCCCCTTGGAGAATATGGAACTTTTCCCCTTGGAGAATATGGAACTTTTCCCCTTGGAGAATATGGAACTTTTCCCTGGGAGAATATGGAACTTTTCCACTTGGAGAATATGGAACTTTTTCCCTTGGAGAATATGGAACTTTTCCCCTTGGAGAATATGGAACTTTTCCCTGGGAGAATATGGAACTTTTCCACTTGGAGAATATGGAACTTATCCCCTTTGAGAATATGGAACTTTTCCCCTTGGAGAATATGGAACTTTTCCCCTTGGAGAATATGGAACTTTTCCCTGGAAGAATATGGAACTTTTCCACTTGGAGAATATGGAACTTTTTTCTTGGAGAATATGGAACTTATCGCCTTGGAGAATATGGAACTTTTTCCTTTGCGAATATGGAACTTTTTCCTTGGAGAATATGGAACTTTTCCTTGGAGAAAATGGAACTTTTTCCTTGGAGAAAATGGAACTTTTTCCTTGGAGAATATGGAACTTTTTCCTTGGAGAATATGGAACTTTTTCCTTGGAGAATATGGAACTTTTTCCTTGGCGAATGTGGAACTTTTTACTTGGCGAATGTGGAACTTTTTTCTTGGCGAATGTGGAACTTTTTCCTTGGCGAATATGGAACTTTTTCCTTGGCGAATATGGAACTTTTTCCTTGGCGAATATGGAACTTTTTCCTTGGCGAATATGGAACTTTTTCCTTGGCGAATATGGAACTTTTTCCTTGGCGAATATGGAACTTTTTCCTTGGCGAATATGGAACTTTTTCCTTGGCGAATATGGAACTTTTTCCTTGGCGAATATGGAACTTTTTCCTTGGCGAATATGGAACTTTTCCCCTTGGAGAATGTGGAATTTATGTTAGTGGATTTAGATTTTTTGAAGGTGCCTGAATTATAACTTTTTTGGAAGCAGATGTGGATTTTTAGGAAAAAAATCCAGAACGCCCTACAAAAAGGCTGCAAATTGGAAGTCGAACAGGACAAATTAAGGGGAAACTTTGACAAACCGCCGGCTTCCTGTCCTCGTCGCGCCCACTAGCGTTACTGGTCCTCGGGTAAACATCAACCGACAATTACGGTATAATGTCTAACCTACGCCTGAAACACTCCTGTTATGAGAGATGTTCTGAGCGTCTATTTCTCATCAAGACTTCCATGTTGATCTTCAAGAACAAAGGTTCATATTGTATCGTTAATCAGCCGCTTCCTCGACTTGCCACTCCGTAAGATATGCGACGTGCTACGGGGGAAAGGCCGGATTAACAGCCTCTAGAACGACTTGGATCACTTTAGAGAATACAGCTGTATGATACATCTGCGACTGTATCTGATTCATAGACTCGCCAAGCTGAACCAGGGCGTTCGACATCACTCAGATCCTGCAGAAATTGGTCTCTGCTGACAGTAGTGTGTGTGTGTGTGTGTGGTGTGTGTGGTGTGTGTGGTGTGTGTGTGTGTGTGTGTGTGTGGTGTGTGTGTGTGGGTGTGGTGTGTGGTGTGTGTGTGTGTGTGTGTGTGTGTGTGTGGTGTGTGTGTGTGGTGTGTGTGTGTGTGTGTGTGTGTGTGTGGTGTGTGTGTGTGTGTGTGTGTGTGTGTGGTGTGTGTGTGGTGTGTGTGTGTGTGTGTGTGGTGTGTGTGTGTGTGTGTGTGGGTGTGTGTGTGTGTGTGTGGGTGTGGTGTGTTTGTGTGTGTGTGTGTGGTGTGTATGTGTGTGGTGTGTATGTGTGTGGTGTGTGTGTGGTGGTGTGTGTGTGTGGTGTGTGTGTGTGTGTGTGTGTGTGTGTGTGTGTGTGTGTGTGTGTGTGTGTGTGTGTGTGTGTGTGTGTGTGTGTGTGTGTGTGTGTGTGTGTGTGTGTGTGTGTGTGTGTGTGTGTGTGTGTGTGTGTGTGTGTGGTGTGTGTGTGTGTGTGTGTGTGTGTGTGTGTGTGTGTGTGTGTGTGTGTGTGTGTGTGTGTGTGTGTGTGTGTGTGTGTGTGTGTGTGGTGTGTGTGTGGTGTGTGTGTGTGTGTGTGTGTGTGTGTGTGTGTGTGTGTGTGTGTGTGTGTGTGTGTGTGTGTGTGTGTGTGTGTGTGTGGTGTGTGTGTGTGTGTGTGTGTGTGTGTGGTGTGTGTGTGTGTGTGGTGTGTGTGTGTGTGTGTGTGTGTGTGTGTGTGTGTGTGGTGTGTGTGTGTGTGTGTGTGTGTGTGTGTGTGTGTGTGTGTGTGGTGTGTGTGTGTGTGTGTGTGTGTGTGTGTGTGTGTGTGTGTGTGTGTGTGTGTGTGTGTGGTGTGTGTGTGTGTGTGTGTGTGTGTGTGTGTGTGTGTGTGTGTGTGTGTGTGTGTGTGTGTGTGTGTGTGTGTGTGTGTGTGTGTGTGTGTGTGTGCTTGCGGGGGTGTGTGTGTGTGTCCACTAATGTGGGTGTGTGTGAAGTGTGTGTGTGTGTGTGTGTGTGTGTGTGTGTGTGTGTGTGTGTGTGTGTGTGTGTCCTACAGCATGGCGTGTGCTGGCTCCCTCCGTCTGCCTCGGAGACAGATGAATGTCAACTTCAACGTTTTCTCAGGTGTCCGGACCGCTGGCAAGATGTTGCGAGGGAAGACATCTTCCTGTTCCCGGAAGTTGATAACGCCTTCTTCTCGTTCAGGAAGAGCCCCTCCTCCTCCTCCATGACCCCCACCCCCCTTCTCCAACAAGGCAGGCCTAGTATAGCACATATATGTACTATATTAGGCTTCAGCGTGTATTAGGCCTATGATGGTTAGATCGTTAGGTTTTATTGGCATTATAAACAACCTTTTCCGGTTTATCCAATTTCAATAGTTCCAAATATTAGTTCCTAATTGGCCATTTAGGCAATATATGTACTATGGTCAACATGGTTACTGTAGGATATTAATTTACTCAACGAGTAAATTAATGGATGTATGAATCGATGAATGTATGAATTAATGAATCTGTGTACGAGTGAGTGGATAATTGTATGTATTGGGTGGATATTCATACATATGCCTATATATATATATATATATATATATATATATATATATATATATATATATATATATATATATATATATATATATGTCGTACCTAATAGCCAGAACGCACTTCTCAGCCTACTATTCAAGGCCCGATTTGCCTAATAAGCCAAGTTTTCATGAATTAATGTTTTTCGACTACCTAACCTACCTAACCTAACCTAACTTTTTCTGCTACCTAACCTAACTTATAAAGATAGGTTAGGTTAGGTAGGGTTGGTTAGGTTCGGTCATATATCTATGTTAATATTAACTCCAATAAAAAAATATTGACCTCATACATAATGAAATGGGTAGCTTTAATCATTTCATAAGAAAAAACTAGAGAAAATATATTAATTCAGGAAAACTTGGCTTATTAGGCAAATCGGGCCTTGCATAGTAGGCTGAGAAGTGCGTTCTGGCTACTAGGTACGACATATATATATATATATATATATATATATATATATATATATATATATATATATATATATATATATATTATATATATGTCGTACCTAGTAGCCAGAACTCACTTCTCAGCCTACTATTCAAGGCCCGATTTGCCTAATAAGCCAAGTTTTCCTGAATTAATATATTTACTATATTTTTTTTCTTATGAAATGATAAAGCAACCCTTTTCTCTATGTATGAGGTCAATTTTTTTTTATTGGAGTTAAAATTAACATAGATATATGACCGAACCTAACCAACCCTACCTAACCTAACCTAACCTATATTTATAGGTAAGGTTAGGTTAGGTAGCCAAAAAAAGCTAGGTTAGGTTAGGTTAGGTTGGTTAGGTAGACGAAAAAACATTAATTCATGAAAACTTGGCTTATTAGGCAAATCGGGCCTTGCATAGTAGGCCAAGAAGTGAGTTCTGGCTATTAGGTACGACATATATATATATATATATATATATATATATATATATGTCGTACCTAGTAGCCAGAACGCACTTCTCAGCCTACTATGCAAGACCCGATTTGCCTAATAAGCCAAGTTTTCCTGAATTAATATATTTTCTCTAATTTATTTCATATGAAATGATAAAGCTACCCATTTCATTATGTATGAGGTCAAATTTTTTTTATTGGAGTTAAAATTAACGTAGATATATGACCGAACCTAACCAACCCTACCTAACCTAACCTAACCTATCTTTATAGGTTAGGTTAGGTTAGGTAGCCAAAAAAGTTAGGTTAGGTTAGGTTAGGTAGGTTAGGTAGTCGAAAAACAATTCATGAAAACTTGGCTTATTAGGCAAATCGGGCCTTGCATAGTAGGCAGAGAAGTGCGTTCTGGCTACTAGGTACGACATATATATATATATATATATATATATATATATATATATATATATATATATATATATATATATATAAGGGGGTGGTAGGAGAAAAGCACACAGAAACTGTATTGGAGGGGATCTAAACATTCCCTCTAATGCGTTATGCGTGGTTTCCTCCGAGGCTATGGGTCCCCCTTCTTCCAGCTAGAGGTGGTACTCCCTTCCATTGTTAAAAAAAAAAAAAAAAAAAATTATATATATATTATATTATATATATATATATATATATGTCGTACCTAGTAGCCAGAACTCACTTCTGAGCCTACTATGCAAGGCCCGATTTGCCTAATAAGCCAAGTTTTCATGAATTAATTGCTTTTCGACTACCTAACCTACCTAACCTAACCTAACCTAACTTTTTCGGCTACCTAACCTAACCTATAAAGATAGGTTAGGTTAGGTTAGGTAGGGTTGGTTAGGTTCGGTCATATATCTACGTTAATTTTAACTCCAATAAAAAAAAATTGACCTCTTACATAATGAAATGGGTAGCTTTATCATTTCATAAGAAAAAAATTAGAGAAAATATATTAATTCATGAAAACTTGGCTTATTAGGCAAATCGGGCCTTGCATTGTAGGCTGAAAAGTGAGTTCTGGCTACTAGGTACGACATATATATATATATATATATATATATATATATATATATATATATATATATATATATATATATATATATGGACCAATAGGTCCTCTTCATTTTTGTTTACTCTTACGTTATTATTCCCCCCCCCCCTCCCCACCATATGCCTTAGTGTTCATAGTTCACACAATGTTCATCTGTTCAATGATGTTCAACGACTAACATTCAGGCAGAATGTCTTAACTTGTACATAGGAACTGGATCTTGTAAACATTTGTGTATTATGAATTACATTAACTCCAGCTGTTGGGGAGAGGAAGCATTAGGCTTATCGAGGTCCCCCCCCCCCTCTAGGCCTACTCCTAACCTGCCCCAGGATACAATCCACGACTGTTGCCTAATTGTCCCGGTAACGATAGGTTAACAAAAATCAGGCGAAATGGGAACATTTCACCTGATTTGTTCAATTCGGGGGATCGAAACCGGAATCCCCGGTTGTGAGACGAGAACGTAGACCACTATAGCACCAATTAAATCATTTACATAGTTGCATTTCAACAACAATTAAATATTCTATCCCTACACACCAAAAAAACTGGTCACTAATCAAACTCTCCCAAGGTGACCATTGACAAGAAAATAAAGATTAAGGAAACTGTAGACGTTTATATGTTTACTGACTGGTCGACCCCTCCCTCTCTCTCTCTCTCTCTCTCTCTCTCTCTGCTGCCAGACTCTCACCTGGTCGACGCCCTTGAGGAAGTCAGCCAGGGTCGGCCTCGAGGGGCAGCCCCTGGAGACTGGAGCAGGAAGTGCTACAAGGAAGGTGCAGACGTCTCGGAGGAGGAGGAGGAAGGAGGGAGAAGGAGGGAGGGTGAAGGAGGGAGGGAGGGAGGGAAGAAGGGAGGAGGAAGAAGGGAGGAGGAGGAAGGGAGGAAGCAAGGAGGAGGAAGGGAGGAAGCAAGGAGGAGGAAGAATCTAGATAAATACGGGACGAGCGAACACACTACAAGAAACGAACGAGTGTGGAGAGAAAGCTTCCGATTAAAAAAATGAGTAATTGAGCGAAATATAAAAAAATCTAAGCTCCTATTACCCAATAAACGTCGACTTCGATTCTTCTTCACTTGAACTGACCGATAGGGCGATAGCATCATTTCTTACAGATCAGGGTTCGATACCCGATGGTCCAAATGATTAAGCATAGTTTCATCACTGTCCTCGTATCTCAACTATGTTGTCCTCATAGCCCGTCCATGAGGGCTATGGACGCCTTTCTCAACATGTGGCTTATGTGTAAATACCCACGAGCGGTACACATCTACAGCGGTACACATCTACCAGCGGTACACATCTACCAGCGGTACACATCTACCAGCGGTACACGTCTACAGTGGTATACGTCTACCAGCGGTACACATCTACCAGCGGAAC